TGCTAGCCAAGCAATTCCGTCGATCGTCAAACTCCGGCACCGCCAAGCACTGAGGCGGCTCACCGGTGAAAAAGTTGTACGAGTATGTGAAATTCTCAAGCCTTGGCAGATTACATATGCTCTTCGGAATCGAACCAGAGAGCATATTATGCGCCACATTCAACTGCTCCAAACTCAACATCCCACCGATGGTATCGGGCAACGGCCCCATCAGACCGTTATAGCTCACATCGAACACCGTCACGTTCTTCAACAACCCGATCTCCGGCGGCAAACACGACCTCAGCCCATTGTTCATCAGTATAATCTCGTTCAGATTCGTCATGTTCCCCAGACTCGCCGGAACACAGCCGTGGAACTTGTTGTTCGCCAGCACAATCACAGACACCGGCGAGTTGCCGAAGTTGTCCGGGATTTCAAACGCGAACCTGTTGTGGTTGATGAATATGGCGTCCAACGGCTTGTCGAACAGCTCCGGCGGAACCGTGCCTTCGAACTCGTTGAACCGGATGTCTAAATAGATCAGCTTCGGCAAACTCAGCACAACGTAAGGGAACTTCCCTGCAAACCTGTTGTTGCTCAAGTCAAGCTCGAACAGTACCTTCAAGTTTTTGAACTTCTTCGGCACAGTGCCGCAGAAGCGGTTGGAATTGATGTGGAAAATGCCGAGATCTGTGAGAAGGCCGAGCTCTTCCGGGAGATATCCGGCAATGTCGCCGTGGTTGAGATCAATTCCGGCGACGGTCTGGATAGAAGGATCGTCAAGTGCAGGCGCACAGAAAACTCCGGTGTAGTTGCAGACACCAGATCCGACCCAATTAGCGGTGAGATTCTGTGGATCTGAGAGAATAGCCTGCTTCCAAGCTTGCAGAGCAATGTAAGCAGACCGCAGCCTAGGGTTTTCGAAGACGAGAGAAGGATCGACGGTGACACTCTCGCCTCTATCGCCATTCTCGTCTAAGTAGTACAGCAGCTGCCGCCGCTTGATGAAGAGGACCTCGGCGTCGGAGAGACGGCCGCCATTGCCGCCGATTTGAACGTGGGAGAACGCATCAGCTGAAGACGAAAACGACAACAAGGCAAAAGCAAGCAACGAAAGCAACACGAGAAAACAACTGCTGCTGTTACCACAGCACCAAATGCAGCTTGAACAATTCCTTTGCCTCATCTCACACCAGACATCTATCTGTAGCTGAATTTTTTTTTTTTTTTTGATTTTTTTTTCCGCTGCACCTCAGATAAAATTGAAACGGAGAATGTGAGATGAGATGAAGAAGAAGATGAACAAGGCGGAGGAGATCTGGCAAAGAAAAATGAAGAGATTGAGAGATTTGGGTGGCTGTGCAGACTGCTTTGAAGAGAGAGAGAGAGAGAGAGAGAGAGAGAGAGGAGAGAGAGGAGGGTTTATAGTTTAATTTTAATTCTATCGGTTTTTGGGTTAGGGATTGTGTGAATGAGAGAAGCAAATGAGGTGGTAGTGATAGAGAGAGAAAGGAACAACCGAAAATAAAAAGACTTACAGCTATATCACAGCTCAAAGCCACCAGCTTCTCTCTCTTCACACTCCCACACTATAACAACAAGGGATGAGAGAGAAAGTTAGAGAGAGAGAGAAAGAGGCGACTTTATTTCTCCTTTGAACTAACACATTAATGTTCAACGCGCTCCTCCTTAGCTAAAGTTTTGGATTAATGCACCCTTAAAAGTTTTTTTTTTTTTTTTGTTTATTTGATTTTTCTTTTTTCAACCAACGCGTATTAAATACGAATAAAATAAACGACTATTTTTTAAATAAAAGGTTCGGATATGATAATGATGTCTCAAAAAAAAAAATTAAAGGTAAATTACGGCCAAACCCTGAAGTAACATCAAATTACGAAAAACATCCTATTGTTTGGATAATTACAACAAACCTCATCAGCTATGGATCTTCTTGCACGTTTACCCATACGGTGTCAAATTTAGTGGAATCTTTTGGATTACGTGGAATATTATTCAGTTTGTACTCATTTTACCACATTCGAGCTCCATATTTTGAAACTAGATGGTCACAATATGTGTCTATTGGCTTGTAAATATCAGAATGTGGTGCATCAAAAATTGCATTTTGTATACAAAAAAATGAGTACAAACTTGAGAACATTCCACGAAATCTAGAAAAATATGTTGACTTTGAGACCATAAGGGTGGACGTGTAAGAAAATTCATAGTTGAGGGTGTGAATGTAATTACTCAAACAATTGGGTTTTTTTTAATAATTTGACATTAACTCAGGTGGTGGTCCCGTAATTTCCCTAAAATTAATAAATGAGTATTAGTATAATACGTGGCAGTTAACTAACTTTAACTACTACTAATAATAATAACAAATAAATTAAAAACAAATACGGCTAAATTATGTGGAAGAGGGTTTGAATTAGGGAATATTTATTTTTTTGGCCGGACGCCGGCCAACTGGAAATGAATAATAAGCGCGTCAATTTTTTCTTGCTTGCGTCTCTTTCGGCTTGGCTTTTTTCGTTAAATATTTCTTTTTTTATTTTGGTATTTTTATATTAAAAAAAGAAAAAGATTTGTTTATTTAATTTAGTTTAGCTTATAATGGCGGAATTAATGGATGTGGTGTGAAATTACGGAATTGCCCATCAACTTGCAGTATTAGAGGTGGCAATACGGCACGTCTAAACCCGTAATTTGTGCACTCAGCTCGTGGTTTTTGTAGATGGATACATACTGGTATCGAATATGCTGTTCTGCTACTTAATTTGTAATTGAATTATGATAAACTTTTTTCTTGATTTAAGGCATTGATTGTTCAATTATTTATATTATATTAAATTAAATCTGTGTTGAAACTAGTTAGTAAGATGTCACATTCTTCATATGAATATTGTATTAATGCGATTTGTGTGTAAAATATTTACACGGTGGAGGTTTGATATTAATTAAATTTGATATTAACATTTAATTGCGGTCATCCATTTTTGAAATGGATTTGAATAAGTACGAATTTTGTCGATCAAATGTCTTACTAGTTACTACTACTCTACTAAACAATATTATTTAGTCAATAGAAATTATTTATTCACTCTAGATCAGCTTAATTGTTTTTGGAATTTTTATGATTTAAAAAAAAAATATCAAACACTTTAAAATAGTTTATAAACTTCTAAACATCTTATAATTTTCTTTTAATAGCTTATAAGCTAATTACCTGCTCAGTCTTTTTGTACTATGTAAACTTTTTATCAACTGATTGAAATCATTTAGCTCATTTACTACTTCCTTCAATTTATTTTTCAACTATACATAATAAATATCATCAATAATAAATTGCATAAACGAATGAATAAATGACTGGCCAAGTGATACTGTATTTATCTTTATAGTTAAATAGGAACACCAAAAAATAAATTGAGAATTCAACAATTTTAGAGAGTTTTAAAGAGTAAATAAAAAGTGTAATATATATTTATATTTTTTTTATGAATAATAATAATAATCAAATAAAAGTTAAAGCCATTTGTAATATTGTTTGCAATGTGAAAAGTAAAGTAGATACTCCATAAATTAATAACCTCGCTTAAATAATAATTTGTTCCGGTCACAATTCGGTGAAAATGTATTATATTATTAATTTAGTGATTTAATATTTTGCTAAATTAATAGAATTTTGCTGATCTCAGATGTATTAATTATTTAATTTATAGGAATTTAATTATATAGATATATTACATGTGGGAATAAATAATCACTACTTCATTTGTATCTTGACTGTTACAATTTACAATGACGGAGACTAAATTAAAATCATTGGTAATGTTATTATATTTTTAATATTTTTAAAAAATTAATAATAGATTAGACTTGGTGGGCCGATATGGAAGCCAAGCGGGTTTGACATTATGCTGAACCGGGCCCAATCCCGCCATTCACATGCAACGGTTATTGATGGGTTTAAATATTTATTATTCACCTTCGCCGACACCGCTATTTCTTTTTATTATTTTATTATTGTTTTGAGTTTTGACTAACTAATAGCAGATTAATTAGTCTCACAAAAGTAAAGGTAAAATTATGTGTTTGGAAACTACAACTTTTTAAACGTATTCGTATCTGTATTTCTAACATGTTTCGTGTCTGAAACTTGTGGACACATGTCGGAGATCCTATGGACTATTTTGAAATTTTTGAAAAATTAGAATCATATTTGAATATCGAATTTTCAATTTCTTTGTTGATTCTCTAATTATTTACATGATTTAATAATCAATTGTAAATTAATTTGTCTTATATTTATATTGAAATATCTTAAAGGAATTTATATATAAATAAAATCTTATATATGTTTATTAATATTTACGCGTTTCTCCTAAATACTCGTATCCTCGTTTTTGGGATGTGCCGTTTTCCAGTATTATCATTTCTGTGTTCGTGCTACGTAGAAGTAGAGTAAAGGTTACAAAGCATTCGTGTAATTATATGGTGAATATTAAATTATTAATATTAGAAATATTATATGACATTTGATGGGCATAGCTATAATCTATTTTGGCCCACCAAACATAAATAAATAAATAAATAAATAAATAAATAAAGAAAAAAAAGAGAAGAAGAAGAAAAAAGGATGCCCAATATCTGAAAAGACCCCCAATTTAATGGTCCAAGCCCAAAACCTTGTGAACCTCTTGCTGGCACTAATTTAATTATTACTAGTTTCTTATGTAAAAATCCCGTTCCGCTAATTTTGGAATTCTGAGTCGGGCCTAACCAAAGTTCGGTGGCTCAGTCCGATTATATTTGAGCAGAATCTATTTTTTAATGAGTCAAGGTGAGTTTGAGCTTAATATGAATTAATTAGAATAAGGCCCGACCGATCAAGTTCGAATATACTGTTACAGGTAATTTATTCTATTCTATTTTTTTATTTATTTACCGCGTGACATATTCGAGGGGCGAAATTTAAATATGATTGAGTTATAATAGGTTAGGAAACAATGGTGTCCCCCTAATGGTCTGCTGGTGGTGTAGGTTAGAGCTCACAGTCACAAACTCAATCAACAATTTATTGAGGTATTAATTTAGTGAGGTATATATAGATACTCTATTATTGCATTATTTTGATTGTATTTATGGGACCCCTAAATTCATGTTGAGAAAATACATAAAATATTGAAAATCATTGCATGAAAATGAAAATTTGATTGTCGGTTATGAAGAAAAAAATTAATTCGTGTCATATTATTTGTTACTTTATAATACCAATAACTCATCGACTTTTTTCTTCTTCTTCAATTTTGTCCATGTGACTCTGAATTAATTAAGAGATGATTGGTGAAAATAAAATTTTAACTAAATGGGTATTTTTGTCACTTTCTATGTTTTTTTCCTCTTTATAATCTTATATATATTTATTAGTTTTGTTAATACTCGTACGTCAATTCAAATCGACACTTATTTTGAAATGGAAAAAGTAATATATTTTTAATTTTAGGGCAAATTATAAGGATCCCCTGAAGTAAGATTTAATTACAAAAAAATCCTTGTTATTTGCATAATTACGAGCACCCCTTGAAGCTGCAAAAAAATCCTAACAGAACATAGCAATTATCTAAAATACCAATGTGTTACAATAATTGAACGAAAGAGGAAAAAAACGGTGTTATATTAAATACAATAGAATTATTTTACAAACCTTACAATTAGACTCTTAATGGTATTTTGGTCATTACAAAATGTATATTCCATGTAGGGGTGAGAAAAAAAACTGAGGAACCGAGGACCCGAACCGAAAATCGAATCGAATTGCACCGAACCGAAGTATACACTGCATACTCTGTTTTCAATTTTCTGTGAACCGAAAATTTCAGTTCGTATTCGGTTTTTCAAGTAGTAAATTGATTTTTTTTACTTATGAATTTTGAGTTGATTTATTGACATTTTTGGGCCGACTTTCGGCCCAAAATGAGCCCAAAATTATTGAAAGCGAACCCATAATTTTATGAACCGAGAAGGAACCGAAACCGAACCGAAACCGATAGGAACCAAACAAGCAAGAAACCGATCGGTTTGGTTTTTGGTTCTTTAGGAACCGGTTTGTGGCTAAAACCGAACCGAATCGAACCGTTCTCACCCCTAATTCCATGTAATCTATTTGATTCAGTTATTGTTAAATTTGTGATGGTAAATTCGTCATACGGAAAATACCTCATGATAGTGATCATAATTATACAGACTATGAGAGTTTCTTGTAATTACAACTTACTTCAAGGGGTCGTCTTTGTAATTTGCTCTTAATTTTAACAAATACATCGCTATTTATCCCAAATATACATTCAAATACATCATTTAATTTTAACAATTTTATTGAAAGAGTGACAACCAAATGTATGTTATCACTTGATTATTTATTGGGGTCATTAGCAATACACCCCTTCTATAGATAAAAAATAGTGATATGTCCATACCATAATTCTTTTTTTGTGAAAAACCCCTAGAATATTTATTTCCAATTTTACCCTTATACTACCTCACGTTTTTTTTTTAATAATTATCTAGTATTAACAAAATTCCTATTAATAAGGCAACTAAATCCCACCGTTTTTTTTTAATAATTATCTACTATTTATAAAATTCCTATTAATGAGGACCTAAATCCCGCTAATTAGGATTAATTAGTATAATTTATCTCAATTCTTCTTTTTTTCTCTCTTTCCATAATAACAATTTAATTCCTAAAAATCTATTTCCAAATTCCTAAAAAATTGCTACAAAATAAAAAAAAAAAAGTATTTTCGGACTTTATTTTTTTATTTTTTATTTTTATATTATTTTCGGACTTTATTTAACCATTTTTTTATTTTTTTTATTTTAATATTTTTTAATAAAAATATTTTTATATTTATTTTTTATTTTTTTTAAACAAAAAATTGAAAATTTTCTCTCCACCCGAATATGACTATAGTTGAATATGACTATATGTTAATGTGACTATATTAACTGTAGTCATATTTTTTCTTTATATTGTTGTTTTTTAAATTTTGAACTTAAAAATTCCGATTATATGGCATAGTCATGTTTACTAAATCATATAAAACAACGAAGATTCCATATTGTTTACGAAAACAATTCAATCAATATCCACACAAAAAAGACAATTTGAATCTAATTACTAGAAGTCAACTTGGAAACGAGAATATAGATTATATTCAACAATAGTCATATTCGAATATGACTACAGTCATATTCGAAAAATACATAAATATGGCTATAGTCATATTCGAAGTCAAACTGCACCACTTATCAGTGACAAAGTCAACGAGGTCTTCGTACACAAAATCACCCTGACATATCTTCACCCCAAACGAGCATCCATACTTCAACACAATCATCAAGGTTGACGTCATGATGTGCAACACTACACAAAAAAAATGAGAATGTGACTACTATGTGACTACTTCTAATAAATAATTTTGCACTACTCTGTAAATGCAAATCACATAATATTATGTGAATTCAATTCAACCACAACAAACACATTGAAACAACAACAAACGCATTGAAACCTATCAAGTAACGCTAAAAAACAAATTACAATAAAATTACACTAGCGTATCAATTAACGCAAAACGAACAAACGATTTACAGAGTAGTCACAACGTGACTCTGTGTAAATCGGTATAAAATTTTCAATCAGTAACGATCATTTACACCAATTAAGACGACCCAAAAAAAACAATGAAAATTCGGTTCTAAATACACATACACACATATCTGAAAACACACACTACAACCCAGCCCCAATTACGAAACCAACAAAATTAAAGCAGAACCTCTGACCTTTAAACATAGTTTAACTCCGGCAACGATCACAGTATGGTTGAACGACGACGATATCTCTATTCTCACCTAATCTCGACTGAAATCACGCCTGTATACCAAGGAGAATCACGTACGCCTATAATAAAGGGAAACAGTTATGGAAATATATCGTGATTAAATATTTGATTTATTATAAAAAACTATTAATAAGGGTACTTATGTCTTATTATGTTTAATTGAGACGATGGTAGTGTAAAGAGAGAGAAATCCATAGAAACGACGAACATGAGAAAATAATAAATCACTAATCGAGTGAATCAACAATAGTCACATTCGAACCAGAGTAGTCACGTTGATGCTGCTGTTTCAGATCTGGAGAGAAAAAAAAATAAAAAA